ATCAATTGTTGATTGTGTTATAAGGGGAGGAGTAAATATATAAACATATCACTAATGATGCAAGTCTTTCGAGATGATGCTTATAATGAAAGATGAAGCTATTTCGTCATCCGAGTTAGAAAGTATATTGTCTTCTTCTTCAGACTCACTTCCCTCATCTTCTTGAAGGTTGTCGGATATATCAGGAACATCTTCTCTAGCACCATGATTTTCCATGCTAAGTTCGATGCCGTGGGCTCGAGTAAGAAGCTTTTCAAATGTGCGAGGCTTAATCTCTTGTAGGATGTAAAGAAGCTCCCAGCGCATGCCTTGCATACATGCTTCAACTTCAGAAATTTCAGACAAACGATCTTTACAGTTAAGATTTAGAGCTCGCCAACGGTTGATGTAGTTAAACCACGTGTTTCACCCTTCATTTGTTTTGTGTTTGTAAGCTCCAACATACTTACAGTACGACAAGTGTCGTAGAAACGGTTGAGAAATTCTTGTTCCATCTGCTTCCAATTGTCAATACCTCTAGCTTTGAGGTCTGTGTACAAATCAAATGCATTCCCTTTGAGGGAACGAACGAATTGCTTGACAAGGAGATCTCTGTTTATACCAGGATTGCCGCAAGTTTCTATAAAGTGTGCGAAATGTTGCTTGGGATTGCCTTTTCCGTCAACCTGTTGAAGCTTTGGAGGTTGATACTCAATCGGCATTTTTAAGATGCCAATTCTTTCTGTGTAAGGCTTTGAGTACATGCGAGCACTTTAAGGAGCACCAGTGTATTGTTCTCTTATGTAATTCACTATCATGTCTTGAAGTTGTTAGACAGAAAATGAGGCGACGGAGGTAGCTTTAGTTGTTGGATTAGCGGACATGTCATTTTGATCGTCAATTGGAGTGGTCTCTGGCATAGAATTACAATGAGGAATTCGGCCTTTGCTTGACTCAGCATTGTCGTCACGTAATTTTAGCTTTTTTGTCAGCAAGACAATTTTCAGATGTTGCTCCTTGAGAGTGTGTTATAATCTTTCAATTGCATTAGCCATACTCGTCAATTGCTCTTCGTATGAGGAAGTACTCGTCATCATGATTGGCATAGTGACGGAGTCAGAAAAATCTTTGGCCTTGAGTGGACCAGCCTTGAACTTGAACGTGTGACTGGAGCAACCTTTGAGGTTGTACGAACCTTCCTCCTTACCCCCAGCGAGGTGAAGGCAGTATGAGTTTGAGTTGTTATTTTGACAGATTTGGCGGAATCGACCCTCATCGCATCGTACTGTCTTTTGGTAAGAACGGATACTTTGACCGTGCTTTTCATAATTGAACTTGCAGAGATGTTTGTACCACTTGACGAAGTTGCAACTTTTTTGCCACCTTTTGTGGTGGTACTGATGTTGTCTGTCACGACTGCGATGTCCTTAAGGGTATTCTTGCTCTTCGTCTGAATCTTGTTGGAAGTCATAGAATCTAACGATGAATTTGTTGAGGATTTGATGTAGGAGAAAGAGATGAGAGGCAGAGGATGTCCCACCGGGGGTGCTAAAAATTTGTATACACAAATTTCGTAGTCTACAAATATAGAACAAAATAGGGAACAAATAAAATTTTATTAATTTATAAAAATTGAGTACAATCCTCTGAGATATTCTTTATAAAATAAAGAAAATATCATCTGATTTGATTTTCTTTGTTTGTTGGATTCAAGGGCTTTTGGAGCTTGATTTTGAATCGGGTTGTTGACAATCTTCTTCAAGTATTTGTAGTTGAAGAATGTAATGACCCGGTCATTTTCCTTCATTTCTTTTTTCTCAGATTTTTACGGATAAATTTTTTTCGTTGATTTTTCTTTTCTGAGTTCGGTTACTCGTCACTTAGTGTCGTCTCGAGTGCTGGGAAATGATTTCCGAGATTATTTCTTTTGGATTGACAACTTCCTTAAAGGATTGCGTCATTTTTACATTTTTCGTTTTTCGACACTATACACTTTTCGTCCTTTTCCCCGTTTGTCACTTTGTTGGCATAACCTCACTTTTTATGTTCGGAGTTGAGTTTTGACTTCATGTACCTTCATTCTAAGTGGTTTCTACGAAATACGTATCTTTACTTTTGTAGGAAAGTACTCTAGTTGCTCCTGGTGTCCATAATAGTATGGATGCAAAGTTCTTCAAAAACATTTTTGTTTCTTGGGGAGTTTTTCGTAAATATCTTTTGGAGATATTTTATTTTGGTGGTTTTTAAGAAAATATCTTTTGGAAGATATTTTCATTCTAGGCAGTTTTACAGTTATCCCTTTTTGTAGGGCCATTGTACAATTAAAGAAAGTTATTGCAAAATACCTCGTTTTAAGCCTGGATCCTCGTATGGGATTCATTTTCACATTTTGTCAAGTCATGTACTCTTAGAATTGCTTTGCGGTCGAACCCTACTGTTTTCGGGTTTTCGGCTTCAGTTAGCGCCAAACTTGTTTGGGGCATATCTCTTTACTCGGGACTCGATTTTCTACGTCGTTTCTTCCGTTGTTTAAATTTTCTCATTTTGGTTTTTTTTTTTGTTCACAGAGTTTTGTCATTTGAGCGCGTCGACTCAAATTCTACTTTTCTGGACCCGGCGGGGCTCTTTCGGGGCACTTTTAGGGTTTTACTATAAAAGAGGGGTGAAACATTTCATTTTTGACCTTCTCCTCTCTTCATGGACGACCAACAGCTGCCATGGCAGCCTAAGGGGGGCTGCCACTCTTCTTCTCTCATTTTAACCTTCTTCCCTTAGGTATTTTGCCGTCGTGCCTTAAAGTTTATCTAAGGCCTTGATTAGGCCTTCCTTTCCCCCTTATTAGAAGCCAATTCCGGCCCATTTTTGTGTTCGGATTTTGAGTTCGGATTTGGATTTTCATGGTGCCTCAAAGGTTAAAGTTGCTTCCCTCGTAGTCCCCGACATAACCTAGGAGTATCGTTGGATTTAGAGCATTTTCGTTTCGGTGGGGATTTGTGATTTCATCAAAAAATGAAGTGGGGGATGTTTTAGGTTTAATTATGTGTTGTATTGATGGTTTTATAAACATATACAACTTGTAAGCATACCTTTGTATTAATTTTAGAATTTAATTTAATTATTTTCTATATTTAAGATTTAATTCTCATGATTGTAAATAGCTTGAAATTAAATTGTGGCATGCTATTAAATTAAGCCTTGATATATTTGTTAACATAAATTAAATTGGGAGGATTTGAATAAGTATTGCAACTTTTAATTAATCTTTCACTTGAAAAAAAATTAATTCACATGGTTGTAACTAGTATGGAATCAACTTATAATGTGACATTAAATTAAGCCTTAGTATGTTCTTTAACATATGTGAATTTGAGGATATTTGGAATTGTTTTAAAATTTAGAGAAAATTAATTAATTAATTTTATTTTAAGTGTCCTATTCACTTAATTGGATTTTTGGCTTGATATTGTTGATGAGCTTGGCATATTCTGTCATATACATTAAATTGAGAATAATTGAATAGGTTTTGAAATTTTTATTTAATTATTTTCTTTGTATGAAATTCAATTCACATGATTGTACCTAGCTTGAAATGAACTTACAATGTGATATTAAATTAGGCCTTAACATGTTTGTCAACACATATGAAAATGAGAATATTTAAATGAGTGTGGAGAAATTTATTTAATTTTTTTCTTGTGTGAAGTTTAATTTACCTAGTTCTGAGTTAGGTAGAAATAACTTGTAAAGTGTCATTAAACTAGTCATTGTCATGACGTTTGACTTGTATTAATTTTAGAATATTTGGAGTTACTATGTAATCTTGAGAATTTAGTTATTTAATTTAATTAAATTCCATTATATGCTTCCATTGAGGTAGTTAGGTATTAAAGTTGTTTTCATGCTTAACTTGTAAATTTGGAACTTGTTGTATGATTACATTATAGTATTCCATGAGCAGAAGTTACAGTATAACTTGCTTACATACACATTATATATTTGATATGTTGTATGCCCTGGTAGCTTGAAGACATAGGATGAATATTGTGTGTATTATTAGACTTGTTTGTGCATAGTAGTTGACTATTACATTGTGTATATGTATTATACCTTGATGCACAACTTGTTGATTTTAGGAAAGCTTACAATGTATTGTATTATGTTACGGTTAGGGCATAGTTCTAGTACGAGGGATGAGAGCTCCCCTTACAATATATGGTGCGCATTGGGTGGTTCCCTGAGGGCTAGTAACCCTAAAACACCAATATACGGTTTGATTCCGGGTTTAGTGTGCACCAGGTAGTACCTTGCGGGATAGTAACCCGAGAAAAGCTTCTTGGTCACTGAGACCGCATGTCCTTGTCTTTCCGCTACTACTTGATTTCACATTCAATTCCAAGTTGTTCAATATGGATTGATTTATAGCTTGCGATATGGTGTTTGACATTTCAACTAGGTGTAGTATACATGTGCTTAATACACTTGCATGCTTTGCTTTTCAATACAAGTTAATAGCATTAAATTGTTATAACTTGCTGTTTCCGTATCTTAGATTTCAAGTTGTTAACTTTGATAATCTATGCCTTGATGCGTTGTATTAAAAGTTCTAATGTTAGTTAAAATTGCATTGATATTGTAATTTGTGTTTTAACTGTTTAATGTAGCCTAGGATGATTCCTTAGACTCATTTGGAACATAGACGTTAAGTGGCATGAACCGTTTTGGTTGTTTTACCCATTTTAGGTTCCAACTTGATAACTTTGAATACCTATGTCTTATTACATTGTACTATATGCTCTTATGTTGTTAAATTGTATGAATGATGTGGTTTATGATAGAATGGTCCAAGGTAGCTGAGGACGCTCCCTGAGTCTCACCATTGACATAGATGTTAGGTGGCATGAGCCCCTTTAACATGTTTCACCTTAAGGTGATAAATTTGTAAAATACTATGTCTATGCATGCTCATCTCCTACAAGTAGCTTTATGTTACTGACCCCAAAGTTACCGGGGACATTTTTCAGGTACGAAGACTTGGTTCGTGATGCTCATCATTCCTTGGATGGCTTGTAGCTTTTAAGTTTTCATTTCATGCAAATGTTAGCATGAAATGTCATTTTGTAGCCTTATATGTCAAAACTTGTATCTTTGACTCCATATATGTAATGTGTACATAAGTACACCATTTACGATATATTTGACTTGTATGAGATGAGGCCGGAGGCCAATGACATTTATATTGCATCTTATGTAATTTTTGATTTTATGAAATGTTATAAAAATCTTGAAAATTCATAAGTCATTGCTTCATTTTTTTTGCATCGGGTGTGACAATTCCATTTTTATTCTTTCATAGGGTTTCATTAATTCTGTATGAAGTGTGACCAAGGGCCAAATGGTAATTTGACTCCATTTCATATATTTGGATTTCAAAATTTCGATTCCAAATTCATTTTTATCATTTTTGGCCGTCGGGGGGTTGGATTTTGAGTCGGGGCTTCTCGGGAGCCTCAGACCATTCCCGCGTACTTAGAATCATATATTACACTTGTGTGCACATTCATTTCAACCTAGAAATGCATTTAGTCAAATGCATTCTTGGTGTAAAGTTGCATTTTTTTGAGTTTTTAAACCTTTTCTAATCTAGGGGCATTTTGGCCATTTCACAGTGTGTTTTTTTTCATTTTCTTCCTCGTAGCCGGTAGAAAATTTGATTTTGGGAGGATTTATTCTTTATGTTTTTCCAAAAAAATTCGTTTGATAGCCCGTTTTTGCTTTCAGATGTAGACAGATCCTGTAGCAGCTTTTTGCCCTCTTGACTTCTTCTGATCTAGGGGCATTTTAGGGATTTTGCAGCGAGTTTTTTTCGTTTTCTTTCGTGTAATCGGGAAGAAAACTCGATTTTAGGGGGGTTTCTTCTTCGTGTTTTTCCAGAAAAATTCGTTTCGGCCTCCGTTTCAAGCCTCAGTTCTGGAAATCCTGCTTTGCACCCTTGCTTTCAACATGTGCATGACATTGGGCGCCGGTGGGCACGCGCATGGGGCTGCCATGGCTTTCGTCGGGTAACCGCGATGTCTCAAATTTAAACCATCGTTTCTTTCTCGTTCGGACTCCAATCGAGTGAATTTTTTTTGAACTTGACTAATTTTCCGCTGTCTTTCCAACGGTGTGCTCAGTTGCACCTGGATCTTCCTGGATAATTACCACTTTACCCTTTTTGCCTTAAGTGCTCGTTTTTCTTCGTCATGCCGTTTCTCCTTCGTTCGAATTCCGAATCATGCGATTCTTGAATCCATCTTGATTAGTTTTTCGTTGTCTTTCCAGCGGTGTGCTTAGTGGCACCCAAATCTATAGTTTCAGAAATAATTATTTTGTCCGATTTTTTTTACTTTCCGCTTTCGTTACTTTCTTTTGAGTTCCGTGACTTTATGGGAAGTCACGGATGTGTCTCGGGAATGATATACATTCTAGGGACGTCATTTCCATGTAAAAGACTATTTTGCCCTTGGGGGCTTATTTGGTCTTTTTCTATTTTTTTCTTCCGCGTCGGTTCTCATGGAGTTCCATGGCCTTATGAAAGGTCGTTTTGGTGTCCTAGGGATGTTGTATATCCCTTGAGATTTGTTTTCTATTTTCACTTTCGCATATTGGATCCGTTATCGGGTCAAATTATCACAGGACGCACTGGTTTGAAAAATCAGGGCCGTCACAAAAAAACTTGAAACTTGATCTCAGACAGTGTTGTGTGGTGATTCGTCAAACTTGTTGAATCACGGAGAAAGAACGACATGATATTGATGTGCTTGTTGTCCTTTGTTGAATTTGAGGAAGAATGGCATGGCTTTCGATGTGCTTGTTGTTCTTCGTCTTCAGATAAGAGAGAATTTGGTGAATTTGGTGAAGAACAACATGACTTTGGATGTGCTTGTTGTTCTTCGCCTTAAGAGAGAATTTGTTGAATTTGATGAAAAATGGCACAGTTTTGGATGTACTTGTTGTTGATCACCGTGGAATTTTGATGAAAAAGGGCACGATTTGATGTGATTATTGCTCTTCGCCTTCAGGTTTGGGTGTTGAGAATGAATGTTAGCAGAGCTTCTGTATTTCTCTCTGGGATTTCTAGCCCTCTGGATTTTTGAGTTTCTCAATTTCTGGACCTCCTGGATTTCTGAGTCTCTGAATTTCTGGACCCCCTCTTCCATGCCTCTATTTATAGGCTTCTTGGATTAATAGGATGATGACATGTGTCTTCTCTTGATAAGGACAAAATTATAACTTAGCCGGGCCAATCATATTATGATAATTATCCTTAAAAATAATTATTCAAAATATATTTTATTAGAAATAATTATCTTTTTCATTTAATCATCTGGCCGGGCTAATTAAATAATTTAAGTGGATCAAGCTTGTGCCAATTAAATAACGTAATTAAACATTAGTCCCATATTTAATAGGGTCAATTCGTAAAACAAAAATTCATTAAAATTTTAGTGTCTAAATTCTAATATTATTTTCATATATAATTTAACTTTTAAATGTATTATATATAATATTTAAACTATAATTACTTTTTTTTTTTTTTTCAAATTTTTTTGTTAAATCTTAACTTATTATATGTTAACATTAAGGAGAATTAATTTTCTAAAAATTTGTTTATAATTTATTAAAAATCTACTAAAAGCCTTTAAAATTTTTCTTGTTTAAGAGTAATTTAATCTAAAACTAATTCAAGATCATATTAAACTTTCGGTGTAAAGATTAGCCATATGAGTAATCCGAATTAACCCGAAATTTTTATCTAGAATCTAAGCCTGAGTTACAAGCCCGAATTTAAAGTAAAAGAATGGGTTAAACTTGGGTTGAGTAGTTAGGGTTAATAATAGGGTTAGGGTTAGGCTTGGATTTAGCCTTTCATATAGTGAGTTGGGCTTAAGTTATACTTCAAATCCGTCCAAACTATCAAAATCCCTGTTGTAGAGCAATTAAGGTGATTTAAATAAAATTGATACTCACAAATTACATTTGAGGGATATCGAATCTTTGTGGTAACAACATAAATATTGTGTTTTATTAGACGAATCTTATCCGTGTCGTTCTTTCAAATCATAAAGTAGCAACTTAGGACGCAACTTTTCGATAGAGTGTATTCGTGCCCGAATTAGAAAATTGTTTGGACATTTAATAATTTCTCCAAACTAACTAAGCGTTATTTGAAATTATTGGTAGCAACTCATTTAGCGTAAGGCTCAAGAATAGTAGAGCTTGACCAGATGCTTAAGTGGGCCGTTCTTGGGGAGTATTTTTTTGGATTCCATCTTTTTCCATACTGCACAAGGTGGTGAAAGTCAGACTTTATCCGAATATTAAAAAAAAAAAGAAAAGAAAAAAGAAATTGTGGAGTATTGACTATGAACAAATTAAATCAACTAATCGTGATTCTTGAATTATAGATTTGAAATACATTTCATCCATACTTAAGAATTGAAAATGTTAATTAAAGTTTGTATTGAAAATGTTAATTAAATAAGTACGGGTTGTAGACCATATCAAATATAAAATAACATTCTTGTTTTGTTTTATTTTTAAAGTCTACCATGAAGTTTATCTCACTGATCTTGCCATAAAATGTACATTGCAAATATAAAAAAACAGTAATATAGTTCTACTTAGTGGCGATTTGTCCAACTTGTATAAATATTGTCTAATTTTAACATATTTTCGGGCCTGTTGGGTATTAGGAACAATGTTCACAAGACCCTAGGGGATATAGGGTTAGGGCACGATTAGGGTTTTAACAAGCGAAGCATCAATTTACACATATTCATTCATTCTTAATCAATAACTTGAATTCCAGATATAATGCTGCCCACAAATATGAAAGGAATTACTTGTGCTTTTATTAGCTAAAACCACACTATAATAAGGATGCAACTTATGGTTCATAAGCTCGAATGAGTAGAAATTTTTTTACTACACTACGTGTAAACTATTGGTTGCAAGGCTAGTTAACAGTAACAATATAAATCAACAAAATTCAACTCGACAAATCTGAATTCAAACTCATTTACATATTTAAATAAAATGAAAATAGAAAATGGAGGCTCCACTGGTGCAACGTCGTCCCGGTCGACATCTTCAGAACCAATGAAGGTGAATTTCCCAAGAAGGACCCCATAGACTGCTGATATCTGATTTTTTTTTTTTTTTTTTTTTTTTTTCTTTTTTTTTTTTGCGAAATTTCTTCATAAAGATGTTGGGGAGTGGGGACCCAATACAAGTGAGTTTGGAAATAATTCTTCATAGCATGATATAAAAAATTTCTCCACTACACCAAGCAGTGACTCTTGATAGCATGATATAAAAATGCAACAGCAAAATCAGCCAACAGCCTAGGATTCAAGATGCAACATGTTTCCAGAAATGGTTGTTAGTTTGGAATCACAAAAGATCAGCTCTGTATTTCAATCTGTTGAGCAAGAATACCCAATATGATTATCATCAGAACATAGTCATTTCGAGTTTATAATATTACATCTGAACACACTTGTAAAAGTGCAGAGAGATTGGGTAGAAGAAGCCAGCAGTACCTCTGCTTAGATTCTCAAAAACCTGAGCAACGAGCACGCGCCAAGATTTACAAATCCTAAGCAGTAAAGAGAATTGCTAAACTCAATTCTCGTGAACAGGCTTCCAACATGAGAGAGCATAGATGATTCGCCCTTTCCATCCCTGCAGCATCCAGTTGTTATCCTCATCCACGACAAAATCACTATGGTAATCCGACTTCACCTTTGTCCTCACATCCTTAACCATCTCCTGGTTCAGTGGCAGCTGCCTGAACCCAGCCCTCCGAATCCGAACTTGCCATTGCTTGTATGTTTCTGGTCTTTCAACCCTTTCGGTACCCTCACATGCTATGACATTCATAGCATCTCTTCCAAAGATTTCTTTCTCAAACAGCATCCTATCTTGATCTTCAGCTGGTGCACTGGCCTCGAACATGTCAAAAAGTGACGAGAAGTGGTAGAGTGCTTCTCTGAACCGTGTGAAAAAGAAGGGGGCACTATAAGTGCCATTAATGACTCCATGGATGAATATATCTGGGCTAATCCTCTTAATCAAGTTCAAGACAGCATCCCTTGGACTACTCATCACCACTGTCTCGTCAGGAACATTCACCAACCGGTTCATACAATTAACCACAAGCACCTCATCTCTGTCAAACTTGAGATCCTCAAGTCGGATGGTGTCCCATTTCTTTGCTATGGCATTGTACTCGAATGGGATGTTAAATCGCT